CTTTTTTTTTCCTTTATGACCACTTCCTATACTTCCTTCATCTCCCCCCTTGCTGTCCAGCTTTGGGCTATGTTGGTTTGCAAATTGGCCGCCGTACACAGAAGGCAAGGAGAGACCCAAGACAGAGGCAGACTACTCCAGATTTGTAGGTGTCAGGTTTAATGAGCAAAAGAACTTACTTACAAGGCTTGTCTTGGGTAGCCACAAGATGAGTAGATCTCTACACCCACCCACCGGAATCTCAAAAGTTTATTTATATAGAGGCCTTAACTGGGTTCGGTCATGTGTACTGTCCAGACAGTCTCAACAACACATTACTATCTCAAGGCTGCGTCTTTGAGAACAACTCTGGCTGTGGGAATGGTGGGCAGAGCGTACCTTCCAAAGACAGGGGAGAGGGTAAGGAGCTTCCTATTGCCAGGGTCCAGTCTACGGGTCAACCGGCAGTCATGTCCTCTGGATTACCTTCTCCAACAGGCTATCAGTTGCAACTCGTACAATGCCTACTTTGAGAAGCCCACCTACAAAAGTGTTGTTAATCTACTGTTGGTTGAGAATTCAGATAACCACATCAGCTTGAATTTTATGCAACTTTGACTGACCAGGGTCTCTTTTATAACAGAAATAAGCTTTGAAGCACTGGTTCTATTTTGGCTCCTCAGAGACAGCTTTTTGAGATTCATCCTTGTTTTCAGTCATTTTGGGGATGGTGGACATTGTGAAAGGACCTCTCAATACAATTATGTTACTTGGATAACAGGACAGGAATCATAAGATAACGCTCCTAATTTTAAGAACCTGTGTCTCAGGCTAACCCAATTCCTAATAACCATTTACAATTACAGTACAGCACAAAATGTCTCAAAGTGAGATAATGCCTTTGACCTACCAAGTACTTAAATCATTAGAAGATGAAATTGGCAATCATATTTGAATGTAAGCTCTATGTGGTTCCTAGTTTTCTGAAAACTGTTGTACTTTAGGACAGATGCAACTATTTTGTAAAGGGTCTCAATTTTAGTTGAGTTTGAATCTACCTTCTCTAAAGAACTACATCATTATTATCATGTGACAACCGTGCTTAGCAAATTCAGCTTTGCTAGTAAGCAAAGGACAGAGTGGAAAACTCAATCCAGTGTTCTGGCTCTTACAATCCATGGAGCTAATTAAAGTGTACCATTTGTCAAAGTCAATGGAAATCCTGTGTCCGGATCAGCTTAAAACGACATTAAAAGGAGAAATGAGTTCCATCAGCAGGGAAAGGAAATTTCCTATTCTTAAATAGAACTGACACCCACCTTGTGTGTATTCTAATGTTTATATCATACAGAATCCTTTTTTTCCAGCAATTTTATAGCAACACTTTGAAAACAAATTAAATAACTATGCTTGTATTCCAATGTTTATAAATATATTAAAAAGAAAATATTTTACAGTAGCCAAAATATGCTGTCCTGTATTGGAGGATAAGGGCTGTAGGAATAAATCCACAAATCCTCCCTATAGCACACTAATGATAAAGAAGGGAGAGAGGATTAACACAAATGTATCTTTTATCTTCCCACTTTTTTCTCTTTTTTCCCCTTTCTCCCTCCATAAGGTGAGAGAGATGGGTATTGAACGGGTAAATACTCAACTGAACTGGAGAGGCTGGCTTAGATTACGTTCCACTGGAGAAATTGGGCTGAAACTGGGGAACGTTAAAACATGCCATCAAACGCTGAATCAGTTAGCTGAATCAGCAATTTTAGCAGTGCTGTGGCTACACTTGCCTTTATGTTCTTTATATTATGAGGTAATGGGAGGAGAAAAAGGAGGACAATAAATCCGATAGGCTAAAATCTGTTATAGTCCCCTTACAGAATCGCACGTACAGAGCTGAAAGAGAATACAGCAAAGATTGAAATATGCCCTTTGTTCACCAAGGCACCGAGACTTGGTGACTTGTGCCACTCTAAGCAGATACATTCTTCTCATGTGTTAACATTTTTGCCCCTTCCAGTTCAGGCCAAAGGGTACAGCAGTAAGTTTCCATTTCCTTGCTGTGAATGTTCACCAAGAGTGACAAAAACAGATTGATTTTTAAAGAGAAGCAGAAGCAACATCGAAGGTTGTCTGCCTCATAACCAGAACACTCATGTCGTCAAGATTTCATGGTATCTTATTTGTTTAAAGGAAAAACACTCAAATCACTACATTAAGCACAATTAACTACATAGTTAAGCACAATTATTTAGTCGGCATAATCATGTCCTTAGATGATAATTATTATATTTAACTGCCTAAGTTAAAGCGAGTTCCTAAATATATATTTCAATAATCATTATTTACGTTTGTATGGCACTTAATCATTTATAAGGCACATAGCTTTTTTGCAATCTTCACAGCAACCTTGTAGATTAGTTACGATAAATACAAGGAGGGTGATGGCGATGATGATGATGACGATGACGATGATGAGGATGATGATTTTATTTTAAAGCTAAGCAAATGGGGACTTGGAGAGCTTAATGGACCTTCCCTGGATCACACAGTCGGGTGGTGAGCAGGTCTTTGCTCTTTATGATCAATGCTCTTTCTGTCGCTCAGTATCTTAGATTATATAATTATTGTTAAAGTATTTTTGTGTGTGTGTGTGTGAGGAAGATCAGCCCTGAGCTAACATTTGTTGCTAATCCTCCTCTTTTTGCTGAGGAAGACTGGCCCTGGGCTAACATCCATGCCCATCTTGCTCTACTTTATATGGGATGCTGCCACAGCACGGCTTGATAAGCGGTGAGTGGGTCCAGGCCCAGGATCCAAACCTGCAAACCCCGGGCCGCAGAAGCTGAGCACGAGAACTTAACCGCTGTGCCTCTGGGCCAGCCCCAAAATATTTTAAACTTATAAACAAGATTCCTTTTATGCATGAGGCAATTTGTGTTCATTAGCAATTGTACCAAAAGTTTCAAATTACTTAGAATATGTCACTCTTTATACAAAATGGTTCACCAAGTAATGAGCCAAAGACAAAACACTAAAGCCTAAACAGACTACAACTAGATGTGATTAAATGTTTCTCCTTATATACTTAAATTTTAGTTAGTTTTAGAAAGGGCCAAACGGAAGCATGAGGGAACTGTGAGGCAACTCACAGATAAAACCATTTAAAAGAGAATCTTCCTTAAAATTCCTTAGTTGTTTCAACTTGCATTATGTTGAACGTATTTTTTTCTTTTTTAAGAAATTACTAGAAAAACAAATTTTCTATTTGTAAACTATAAAATAATAATTATGTATGACAAAAAATAAAAGAATCAAGTTTTCGAAGTGTTCCTTGCTTTCTTTTGAATTATATGTGGGAAAAGGAAATAAAGAAATTATGAACTCCATAGATGGGAATTTGTCTTTTGAAGTTCATCAGCCTTTAAAGTATATGAACAATTATATGGCTCAGTGTAGTTCTGTTTGCATAATAAATAGTTTATTACATACCAAGGAATTATATAATTGGGACAGAGAGTTTTCTCTAATGTTGATCACTAATACCTGAGTTAGAAATTAAAAGATTTTTCATGTACTAGGGATTATTTTAATTCCTTAATTTTGAACCATTCAAAAAATTTTCGGTTAATTTTAATAGCATAATAAATGTTACTACATATGAATTATGGAAGCATAAAAATATTACACTTGCTCTCATTAATAGCCTGCACTTTACACACTTTCCCTTTAATAAAAATGTAATATCTTAAAACGTTCATTTATAAGTCAATCTAAATTATATTGCAATTTTCAATTAAATAGCTGAAATAAATCTATAAGGAAGAAGGTATTATGGCATTACTCGATTTAAAACAGTAGTGGTGCATATTGATGCCCCACTACTAATCCTATTAACTACTGCCCAGGGAATGTGCATATGGTTGCATGAATTTAGTGTCTTTACTCTGACTCCTCCTCCCAACTAAACTCGATTTCAGCAATGTTACTGAATTGGCAAGCACAATTATTTAATCAGAGTAATCTCATCTCAGTCACCATGCACTAGGATGTACTCACCATATCAGAATCTATGTTCTCATATCTATTCTTGTCTTCCACAGGGCCAAAAATTGATTCAGAAAGGAATTCTCTTTCACATATAATTTCCATGGTTTTCAGAATGAATCGCGTATTTGAAAAGATGTTTGGATACTTGTAATATAATTCTCCAGAGAAAGAAAGTGCTATTGTAAGAAAAATAATTTGTGAGAAATATTTCATTAATATCTTGCATTGTGCATCGTCTGTCTTCTAGTTAAAATATAATTAAATTCAGTACTGAGATGCTGAAACTCCTGTGCATGTCCCCATCTATTCAAGATTTATAATGTTATGTTGACCCCTGGTGGTATGACAGAAAACTACAAGGTAAATAATTCATACATAAGAGTTGATATCATTCACAACAGCAATTGCATAACGGTTGAATGCTCAATTAAGTATAGGTACTGCACAACAATGCTTGGTAACTTCCAGCTGAAAATAAATCAAGTTATAATAGATACTCTATTCATAATGGATACTTTGAAACTGTAATCCTACAAACAAATCAATGTCATTGTTTTTAATCTAACATTCTCCAATTTTATTCCTTTTCAATATCTTGTTATTGATTTTTAAAAGTATATATTTTAAGTATAGCAACAATTATGTCATTCAACATAAGACTATGTGATATTTAACAGAACCATCTTTGTGCTGTCCTTTTTATAAACTTTTAGACAATCTTTGAGTTTCAGTCATCAACATAGTGGAAAATTAGTAATAACCACTTTTCTACTGGATGGCTATATGGTTAGGTAGCAGCTGCTAATAGTGCAGCAAGAATCAGCCTGTTGCTGAAGACAGAGATGTAGTCTAAGAAAGGCTCTACTTAACAGTATTTGATAAGAAGGCAAAATCTGGGGATTTTATCCCAATATGAAACAAAGATGTTGGTTTTCTTGGGATATATCCACAATAACAAGCTAATGTGAGAACGTGAGGTTTTACTCAAATAATTTTTCCAAATTTATTTGCCACCATCATCTGAATATTTGATGAGTCACTATGCTGAACACCGAGGAATTAAAAAGAGGATGTATAATGTAATAAAGAAATCAAAACAAGTGATACGATAGACATGAATTCTTATTCTGCCAGTCTGGAGCCTCGTCTTGGTTTCATACCCTATCAGAACTTGTAGCAGCGGTGCAGTGGTGTAGAAGTGTTAGTCTCCATAACACTTCTTCTATTACTTTCTATTGCCTTCTCCATAACCTTTTCCATCAAATATTATTCCCTATCTTATATCTTGAATCACGTCATCTCTTATCCTACAACATACTAATCTTCTCTTCTTTTGACCTGTTTTTTTCATCCAAACTATTGACATTTCTCCTTTTCTTTATAGCTAAGCTTTTTGAAATAGTTCTCCATCTCTGTCTTATGCTTATTTATTTATTTATTTATTTTTGTGAGGAAGATCAGCCCTGAGCTAACATCCATGCTAATCCTCCTCTTTTTGCTGAGGAAGACCGGCTCTGAGCTAACAACATCTATTGCCAATCCTCCTCCTTTTTTTTACCCCCAAAGCCCCAGTAGATAGTTGTATGTCATAGTTGCACATCCTTCTAGTTGCTGTATGTGGAACGCGGCCTCAGCATGGCCGGAGAAGCGATGCGTCGGTGCGCGCCCAGGATCCGAACTCGGGCCGCCAGTAGTGGAGCGCGCGCACTTAACCGCTGTCTTATGCTTAAATAGCCAGCCCTGTCTTATGCTTAAATTTTCCCTTCATTCTTTGTTTACCTCCAATCTGAATTTTGCTTCCACTTCTCCACTGGGATGCTCCCAGGATCAATAATGACTTTCTGATTGCAGAAACCCATCATCACTTTCAGACTTTCTACTATTTAATACTTGTACAGCTCTTGATAATGTTGATCTTCTTGAACGTCATCACTCTTTCCTATTTCCCTTAATTCTCCTTTACTGAAGCCTGTTACTCTAATAATCTATTAAATGTTTATGTTCCCCAAGACTCTATTCTTGGAATTAATTTCTCCCTACCACCACCTCCCACCCCCCGGTTATCTCAGCCACATTAACATGGATGACTGTCAAATCATCCATGTTAATATCCAAAAATAACTGAATCTCAGGCTTCACTTATTTTCCTAGTTCCAAACCTAAGCTTCCAACTACTCTCTGGGTATGTATACCTGAGTGACTTTAAAATTCAATGTGTCCAAAGTTTCTCCAAAATTCTCTCAGTTTAGAGCACCATTATCTTGACCCTATTAGCCAATATGTAAAATTTAAGATTCCTCCTGAATTCCTCACTTTTCTTTACACATTAGCATAGATCCAACTGATCACTGAGTCCAGTGTCTTTTATCTCCTAAATATTTTCCAAAACTATTTTACTCTATCTCATTCCCACTTTAATAGTTCATATCTTCAACATCTCTTGCCTATGCTAATATCATAGCTAACTGACCCCCTGCATCTACTCTCTCCTTACTCCAGCCCAGCAGCTATACTGCCACTAGTGCCACCTTGCAAAAACATGAATTCAACTTTCTTGAAATCCAGAGAGGCAAATACTATTACAGATGAGGAAACTGAGTCACAAACAAGGTCAGACACTTAGTTAAGCAGGAGAGTTAACAGTAAAATCCACGCAGTCTGGCCCAGAAGGCATGTTCTTCAATCATGCTCCTATTATCTTTCATGAAAAATAAAATACAGCTTATGGTCTTTATAGTGATAGTTGGAGCTTCTCAAAATATAACATAAAGCATTTATAAGTGTAGAAAATACAAGATAGTCTACCGTATAAATATGGTTGAAGTCTAAGTAAATGTTGTTTAAAACTTTCTAGGTGACCATGAAGGAAATATATAAAAAGTCGTAAGAAGACCAAATAGCCAATCTGTCAAAAGAGAAGAGAAAAGCATTTTTGAGTTACATCGATAAGTGTTTAAAAACCATAAGGAAAAATAAACTATGTTGTTACAACATTTGCTTTTGATCAAATAATTTCAAACTCACTTGAGATTATGTGCTTTTGAAATAACTTTAAAACATTTCTATCTAGGTTGAAATACTGGTTCAGCCAAAAAACTTTCATAAATTATCTCTACATTACATATAATGACCAATACTGAATGCTATTTTGTTCTGTCCTTTAGAACAGTATTTTTCAAATTGCAAGTCATGCCCCTTAAGTGAGTCATGAAATCAACTGAGAGGGGATTTTTAAATAAAATACAAGAGAAGAGAAAATATCATAAAACATTGCACAGTTCCTTGTTTCAGTATATAAATGAGTATGTATTATGTGTGTGCTGGAATTCAATGCAATAGATATTTCTTCCAATGAGTCTCAGTGAAAATAGTTTGAAAAACATTGCTTTAGATAGTTTTGAGAAATATTCTGCCTGTGCATAGCATGCTGTACTAAGATCCCCATTCCCTCATGAAAAAAAAAAAAAAAGACCACCACACAATGTCATTACTAAATAAACCCTGTAATATCTTACTTCTGTAAAGTTTAAAATAGATGTATAGCTAAAACCGTTTATTTTACATAGACCACAGAAAATGGAAAATCTTCAAAAATATATGATATACAAGATTTCACAGAAAACGAGAAAAAACTCCACCAACTATAGAAATAAATGGAACACAGTGCCTAAGTTGCTAAATCATAAGATTATGGAGAAGAACCAAATAATAACTACCACTATATCACTATCAAGATATATATGCAAATCCTCTTAACGACAATGTTAATCTATTATTAGATTATTAGATCTACATGTAAAAAAAGTAATATAACTAAAAAGATGATTCTACCAAGTCTCAGTGATTCACCCAAGCTTTTAAGCAAATAAGTGACATCACTGGACTTTGAAACCAGGACTGTGTGTACCGCACCAAAAGTCATGACCTTTCTATTATAGCTATGATTTCCAAATATTTTTATCACAAACTTCTATTAGTAAAATAAATTCTGGGAATACACCATCAATATTTGTAAATGTATCCTTAAATTATAAACATGCACCATTTATAGACTTAAAAAATAAATAAAAATAAAATGTTTATAAGGCATGCCCAAGGGTCTATCTCTTCATACAGACCACTTAGATATAGTACTGCACTTCTCTAAGAGATTGAAGTTAGACGAGAAGCAAGTGGAGATTGACAGACCATTTAAAAGAATATTGCAATATTCTAAGTGAGAATATGAACGTTAGAAATACCCATTGTTATAGAAAATGAAAGAAAAACTAGTCAGAAGGGAACAGTTTAGGATTAGTAGAGATGAATATTGAGAAAATGTTAATGTTCAAAAATGTAGTGTGGGACAAAATAGAGAAATATATGAGAAGCATATCAGTTTGACTAATTGCTCTATTGTATCCCAATTTGGTCATGAGTTTCACCTGACCCGGAAACTATCCCTAATTATAACTAAGTTTGGAAAAATGGTTTTAAAAGCTTTCATTTGTAATACTCTGAAAGGCTAGATTTTTATTGAACAATCTACCTTTCTATATCTCTAAGGAACTCGGGGACTTTCTGTGCATCTTTCCTCATGTCTCCTTTGTGTACATATTCTCTCTAGAGCTTGACAACTCAAGATTTGCCTCCTAGACTGAAACTCTGCTTGTCAATTTCTCTTTCTCTGCTCTCTCATCTTTCCTTCCTTTATCCTTTACCTTCTTCTTTCCTTCTCTATCTCTTCTTCTCTTCCCTTCTCTGACTCTATTAACCTAACTGTGAAATAGAAACGCTGAATAATATTTGTTACGTGTTATATACTTTTTAGGGCATATCTTTTCTATTGTGGTAAAATATACATAACATAAAAGTTTGATTTTAATTATTTTTACATGTACAGTCAAGTGGCATAAAGTACATTCACAATGTTGTACAACCATCACTACTATCTCTTTCCAGAACTTTTTTCTTATGTGCTGTATTTTAATAGTTGGTTATGTGTTCCATGTGCTTCTATAGAAGCCTGAAGAACACTGTTCATATTCCTATATAAAATATATTAAACTATTGTTGCTTACATGTTATTCTCTACACTTCAGTAAGCAGACTTCAACAGTTAGGAAGATTCTGCACTCAGAGGTAAATAGAAAGGAAGGAACACACACAAAATATGAAAGTAAATAATATTAGGGAATCAGATCTTTTTGGCTCTTCCCAACCCTGAGCTATATACTACTTTTTAAAGATAAACAAAATTGTGCATATGAAGATGGGTGATGCCTCCACGGCAATACTCTTCAATATAGCATTCTGTCAAAAAGAAAACATCAAAAGAGAGTTTTCCAACTGACTGTCAGATATACAATGAAAATTCTGCAATGGCAAAGAGGATAACTGAAATAGCTTCTTGCCTGAAATCAAAGGTACTTATAGAGCATGCTTATTTCCACTAGCTAATTTATATTATCTAGAACAATAAAGAGTAAGCTTTAAAATTAGTAAATCTGAGAGCCAAGGTAAATGTGTGGCATCATGGGTCAAAGAGTCCACTGGACTCTGGGTTTCAAAACCTTCTCTGCTGAGACCTTGGGTAATTCACTTAAACTCTCTATGCCTCAGTAGTAAAATGGTGGATACTGATAGTGTCTACCTTTCAGGATTGTTGTGAGAATTAAATAAGTTAATATGTCTAATACATCTAAAGCACTAATCACTGTGCAAGCACATAATTAAGTGCTGTCTAAGTGTTTGCAATTGCTATATGAACCTGTGCAAATTGTCTAAACTTTCAGATGAGAAGATATAGGAATCTTTTAAAAATTAAATGATATGATGTATATAAATTATAAGCAAGGTGTGCAATGGCTAAAACTTTATTTTATAGCCAGTTTTATTGCTGGCCAAAAGATAAAAGGCAAGAAATGGAAAAAGATCACTAAAGAAGATGAGAAAGAAAGAAGAGAAAAGACAGACTTGCTCTATGTTTTCCCATTCCATTCTTTTTCATTATAAAAGATATATTTATGGCTAGATATATAGATATCTATTACTATACAGATTTAAAAAGATATATATATAACTCTCCATAATAATTATATAAATATAATCTTTTATATATCTCCATAATGGACAGTTTGGGAAATACAGAAAAAAGAAAGAAGAAAAAAATCATCATAATCTTACCATCTAAACAGCCATTGGTAACACCTTATCTCTTTTTCTCCAGTCCTTCTTCTATGCAAAGCCTCAGTTCTTTGCATGTTCAGTTTCTCTTATGTGCTCTCTCTATCTTGTCTGGTCTCCATAAGTCTTTTACTCCCAAACATGCTAGCGAGGATCTAGGCTTAACTTCTAAGGACTGAAATACTGTATCTTCCAAAAATGCCCTGACTGACACATGAATATTTTCATGCTTGGTTTCAAACAGTTCATAATCAAAATTGAATAAGAAAAAAGTACATTTTTGCAAATAATACCACACTTAATTTTAATTGTTACATATATATGTGTGTGTGTGTGTGTGTGTGTGTATACACATATATTCTTTTTGTGTGTGTGTGTGAGGAAGATCAGCCCTGTGCTAACATCTGCCAATCCTCCTCTTTTTTTGCTGAAGAAGACTGGCCCTGGGCTCACATCCATGCCCATCTTCCTCCACTTTATATGGGATGCCGGCACAGCATGGTTTGCCAAGCGGTGTGTCGGTGCGTGCCCAGGATCTGAACCTGCGAACCCCGGGCTGCTGCAGTGGAGCCCGCACTTAACTGCTCGCGCCACCAAGCCAGCCCCTACGCATATATTCTTAAAGAAATTCTTCTAGCATTTCTTTTCTTTCTTTGCAATAAAACCACTTGTTACATTAAATTTCTTTGACTAATAATAAATTTTGAAGCAGGCAACCACGATCACCACAGGGAGAGGAACCATATGACTTTCAGGACCTTATAAAACATGAGCTACATGAAGATAGTTTCCTATCCGATGGCTCTAAAATGACACAGAATACTGAGAGAACAACTCATCTTCTCAAATTGAGCAATTATTTAAGGTTATCTATGGTCATTTTTAAATGGAAAAGTGGCATTTAAAAATCCTTAAAATAGAAAGGAGAAAAGCTATACATACTCAGATGTAAGTATAAACTTGATTTTTAATTAAATCTTATTTTCTTACAGAGTTGGTGAAGTTATATTTTCTCAAACCATCTCCATTTGGATATCAAGCAATAATGTATTCTCCACATTTAGAGAAGATTAAAATAAGCTACCTAATGAGAATATTTCATAATAAAACCAAATGGCCTGTTTAGATCCTAAAACAGATGTCATGTGGCTACATGTAGTACATATAGCAATTAAAACACATTAAAAATATTTTAAAACATACCTTTGCCAGCTTTATTTCAACTGAATATAAGTACGTCTTTAGGAATGCATCACAACAGAGTCTATATAAAACTGATTCCGCAACAAAAAATAAGGCAGGCAGATGATCATAATCAAAAGAAGCATGGTCCAGGGAAGCATAAAGCATATTTAAAGCTTCTGAAATATTAAAAAGTAGAAACTCTATAATTTATAAATCAGGCTGATTTTCCACATGCTACAATTAAGTCTTGCAATTAACTATTTGCTCAGTCACCAAGACCAGATTGAGGTTTCAAAATAGTTCTTTCACACCCCTCCCATCAGGGAGTGAAGTCTATGCTCCCTTCCCCTTGAACCTGAGCAAGCCTTGTGACTGTTTCAACCAACAGAATGTGGCAGAAGTGACACTGCATGAGTTCCAAGGGGTGCTTTCTTCCCAGGCATGTCTTTTCTAAAAGCAGTTCAACAAAGAGTATTCCAAACAGACTTCTCTTTACATCTCTTCATCGGGACCAGGCCATGTGACCACCCCTAATCTAATCACTGACAAGTAAAGGGGAATCGCCACGATTAGTCTAGATCAACCGTGATGCAGCCCCTGAGGCTGGGAAGGGCCAGTCCTCTTCTGAATTTCATGACTCTGCAGTCGTCTCTGCCATCAAACTGAGGTTTAATTGACAAAGAAGAGCAAGTGGCTGCCGGTTGCTGGTAAGCCAAGAGTCTTTACTTCAATATTATTTAAATATTTAATAAGGTCAGGCTGTGGATGGCGCTGTGATGAGGCGCCGTAAAGGCACGTTAAATACAAAATCATTCTTACTCTTCCCGCTGCTTGAAAGCTCCCAGATAGCACTACAAAACCCAATTTACGTGGGGAAATACTTTCTGACCTCATATGGTTAACATTCTAAAACTCATTTTAAAAGGCACACACAGAAAATTTAGGATAATGAGAGAAGGAATTTTACCTCCTTAAAAATAATGTTTTTAATTTCTTTTTTAGATTGGTTGGAGGGTGGTGGTTTGATGGAGGACATATAAATGAGAATTGATAAATGAAAAGGTAATGAGTAAAATGGCTGTTTAAAATAAGTGAAAAACAAACGGCCATTTGGTTAATGTTTTATGAGTAAGAATTATAAAATGCAGAAGCAAGTTTCTCTAAAGTATAGTGCCTGTTGTAATCGAAAATCACTAAATGACATTTTATATTACTTTTTAATTAGTTACTAATTTTAGAGAAAAGCAATAAAGACTACGCTGAGCAAAAGTTTTTAAAACAATTTTGTAATTAAAAAGTTGAGCAGTCAAATTCATAAATTCAAAATTACAAACTTTCATAATGAAACATTATCAGATATTTCAATAGAGAAAGGCAATTTTTCCTCGGCTCCTGCACAATTTCTAAATATTAAGGGTCTCGAATTATGCCTTCACCGCTAATCTAGAAAACACTTAGAGTAACTAAGAAGAGATTGGTTAGAGCACATACCATCTTGGATTTCTCCTTTGCATTGAGCCAGATATATTACTTCAGTCCATGCGGTAGGAAGATGCACATGCTTCCCGGCGCCTAAGGTTTTGAGACCCAATTTTCTCTGTTTCGGGGAAGCGTGAAAGAGACAAACCAAAATATATAGCTTTTAAAAAATTAATTGATTTATTTAGATTATCCCTTAATTATATTCTGAAAGTCGTTCTATGGGGCTGATGCTCTGTGGCCAGTGTTGTATACAACTTTATATTTTTGCTTTTACTATTTTTATGTTTTGACATTTATGTAAACTGTATTACTGTTAAAATGTAGAGAATGTTTGTTAATATTCTGAGTAATATCATTAGTTATTTGCTGAAAATAATCCTCACTCTTTACTTCTCCGGGGATTACTTCTACCCCATTGCCCTACCAAGAGAATGCATTTCTGATTTTAGAGGGAAAAGTATATTAAAGAAATGTGATTCAACAGAAATTAGTTTGATGCCAATTTGCAGGAAAACTCTGGCTACTTCACAGGGGATGGGCTAAAGTTAATGAACATAGAGATATCAAGATTGCCCCCCTTCTCTTAACGTGCCCACTCCCGGGGCTGCCCCAGGGCACAGTTGGCCAATTGGAGAGAAGCTCACTGACGAACGTACCTGCAGGCATCTTTCTGCGTGCATACTTATCAAAAGTATATTCTTTTTTCTAATCAAATTTTATCATGGATTTTTTTCAACATTTTTAAATATATAGGCAAAGGCAAAAATATGAGTCAAAATACTAGGAAATCAGCACCACCACAACAAAAAACATGGCTTAACTTACGTCCCTGTTTTGTGCAGCTTTTATTTCATAAATTATTCAGTATTAAAGCAAAATCAAACGTACATTACTTCTCTGCCAAACTTAAATTGGGTCTAATGTAGAAAAGGCAAAACAAGGACTTGTTTCAATTCCTGTTCTGTTTTGATATGTGTTTGAAAATTTGGTAATTAATGGCATACTCTTAAAGAAGGCATGTTTTACAAGTTAAGTGAATACTTTGTTAACGAGAAAGAACAGAGCACTCTGTGCATGTATAGTAAAGGTTTAGGAAAGCTTTTTTTCCTCTTTGGGACATATCATACCGCAGTAAACTTTTTTTTAGGAAAAAGTAGAATTTTCTTAATAAAAAATTTGTCAGCCTTTGATATTTTGCTGTGGGCTTTTGGGCTAGTGTTGACAGACATATTCCCCAATCATTTATGGAGACTCTTCACCCAAAAAGCCATTTGACATTGAATTATTCAGTTATAAGCTTTAACTTTAATTTGCATTAATATTTTTAACTATGCCTTATAATTAAAGAAAGGTGTACTCTTATTTTTTATTTAAATACTTTAGAACATGTAATCCTCCACCAACTAGAAGAGACAGTTCACATACTAAGTAATCAATAGTGTACCATTACCTTACATCTGAGAATGCTTTTTCTAGCTAGGTCCAAAAATTTTTCTTCCTCTTTTGGATTTTTTGTTTGGTTGAATCTCAAGATGAATTCTTGTGTGACTGAAAATGATGGTCTAAACCAAAAAAAAACAAAAAAAAAAAAAATCAATAATTATAGCTATCAGCTCCAAATTTTAATTAATCAACTTCTAGTGGCCAAGTGTAACTATTTTCTAAAAAGTACTTTACCTTAATAAGAATGTTTAACACACACACACAAAATCAGTAAAATAAAAAAATACATGTACAGGCCTCCTAGATTGATCTTATCATACTCTTGGATTGAGAAACATAATTCTCATGATGTCAAAGAACTTTGTAGCCTCTGAAAAATAAGTTTCTGAAATGATTGCCAGAAGTCTTGTTGGAATATGCCTTCTTCACAGGTAAAACCCAGCACAGCTTCAATTATGTTGAAGACTGATTTATCTCCTCACATAAATCAGTGTTCATTCAATTTAAGCTAAGCCTCTATTCCCTCCATGCAAGTGGAATCAGTCCAACTGTGGCTGGAGTAAAGTGAGCAGGGGAGGAAAGATGTACGTTGTAAGGTCAGAGAGGTGACAAGTAGCCAGATTAACTCTGGATGAGATGGGAAGCTATTGCAGTGCTTTGATAAGAGGAGTGGCATGATTTAATTTAAGTTTTAACAGGATCATTCCAATGTCGTGTTGAGAGTTTGAGTGGGGGGAGATGGGACATAACAAGGCAGGGAGCACACATATGTTTACATGAGAGGTAATGGTGGCTTGGATCAGGATTATAGCAATGTAAGTAAAGAGAAGTGTTTGGATAACAGATATATTTTGACAGTAGCTCCAAGCAGACTTCCCACTGATTTAGAAATTAGATGTGACAGAAAAAAAGGAGTCATGATTGAACTGAGTAACTGGAAGGATGGAGTTGCTATTTACTGAGATGGGAAAGATTGCTAGAGGAGCATATTTGGGGTAAGGGTAGAGAATAAGTTCAGTATTGGACATGTTACGTTTGAGATGACCAAGCCATCCAAGTGGAGATGTAGAGTAGGCCATTGGATATATGAGTTTGCATTTCAGGGGAAAGGTTCAGCCTAGATACATCAATTTATGAGTCATTAGCACACACATGGTATTTAAAGTCTTGTGAATGGAAAGGATCCCATGGGGAAAGTGTAGAGAAAGTAGACAAGTATTTCAAAGAGAAACGAGAAAAATAAGTTGAAGGTGTACGAAAGACAACGAGTAGAGTGATTATAATGATGTACCACAGAATTTAAGATGGGCATGGGATCAAAAGTGACATCAGAAGAATAGTGAATAAGTAGTGGAATCAATGAGTTGTTTATTTGTGTGGTCAAATAATTGTTGGAGTCATGCTATTATAAAGAGTGATCTGGAAGAATAAAACACATTTTTAACAACTTACTATATTCAGAATGTACCAAATTAGTTGCTCTGTGGGATATAGGGAAAAAAAGGAAAAGAATAAAAATCAGATTTTGCCCCTGAGTAACTCACAGTGCTATTGGGGGTACAGATGTATGCAAAAGTAATGACAGTGCCACAAAATCACACGATAAGCAGAGGTAATGTCATGGTGCCCTGTAAACTAGAACCAAATACACATATCCCAGTGAAGAACAATTAATGAAATAGCTAACTCGCAAACTGTCATTGTAAAATGGGCCTTTATTCAGTCATTTATTTGGTAAGCATTTATTGACTACCTACTATGTATCAGGAACTAAGCTTAAAACCGGGGAAACAATGGTGAAATAAACAAAGAACCCTGCCCTCATGGAGCTTATAGGAAAATAGAGGAAGAATCAAGGTGTTGGAACTCAGACTGTCTGCTAGAATTGGGCATTTTGAAATGACTAACTTCATTCTTGATTTCCTGTTCTCATTTTACTCTTGCTTTTGGAGATATCTGCTTAGACAGATATAGTGAAGGGTGGTTGAAAACTCTTTCTCGGTAGTCATCTAGGATGACATATCTTCGATCTTCTTGGACCTACTCTGCAGGAAGAGTCCAAAATAGCTTTAATCTTCCCATTTGTACAAAACACTAAGGGAATTACAAGAAAGTAGCCCCTATATCCATTTAATTTTTTATAAATTTCATTAGAAATTATGTTTTTAAAAATATTAACATAACAGTGCTGTTTATAACAAACCAAACATTCAGGACTGCATGAAGAAAAAGTTAAAAGACTGCCTCCCAACACTACTGCCTCCAATTCTACCCATCAGAAATAGCCAAGATGAATGGTTTAGTGTGTATCCTTGCACATCTTTTTCAATGCTCACAAACATAAACCAACCTACACGCACTATATTTAATAAATGGAACCATGTATACAACACTGTAGCATGCTTTCTTCATTAAATTTAACAGATATTCCTCAAGTTCAACTGATCCTAATATCTAGTAATATGGACGTACAAATGCAACAATTCTTTTATTGATTGACATTTCCCATTACTTCCTGTATTGACATCTCATTACTTCCTGTATAATTTTGTCCACACTAACTGATGTTATAATTAAAAAAAAAATCCTTGCACATGGGCCTAATATGCAACAGATGCACATTATTCTGATTTATCAATCCCCACATTATATCAATAGTTAAATATTTTGATTACCACCTCTGCTTGTAAATATATTTATATAAAGATATCATAAGAGAATGAAAAGGCAAAACTTTGAGTGGTAGAATATATTTTCAACACATATGACTGACAAAGGGCTCAAATCCAAAATATATAAAGAACTCCCAAACAATAGAAACATGGAGAAGAGGCTTATACAGGTAATGCACAAAAGAAGAAATCTAAGTGGGCAATAAATATGTGAAATGATGATTCACATCATAAATAGGGAAATTCAAATTAAAACCATAATGAGATGCTCCTATACATCCACCAGAATGACTAACATTTAAAAGAATGTCAATACCAGGAATTGAAGAGGATGTGGAGTAATAGGAACTCTCACAAGCTGCTTGTGGTAATCAATTGAGTGTTACCTACCAAGATTGAAGAGAGACATACCCACCAACTCAGCAATCCCACTGCTTGATATATACCCAAAAGAAATGTGTGCACCTGTACGCCAGGGGACATGTACAGAATGCTCAAAGCAACACTTTTCATAAGAGCTAAAATCTGGAGTCAAACCAATTCTCCATCTCATGGACCAAAAAGTGTAGTATGTCTGTGAAGGAAGGGTGAACAAAACATCCTCTCCTTTTCTGTGGACAAATTTAAGCTGGGGTTAATTTTCTAGTTCCAGTCGCCTGAAAACCTAGTAAAAGTGGATGTCATCTGTGTTATTCAAACCATTACTTATGGTAAAAATGACGTGATAGCTACACTATATCTGGATTAAGAGGGCTGTGAATAAACTATAAATACCTGATGAGGGGAGGCTTTGGGCTTCCCAGAGTGCATGTTCTTTGCAGGAATCCACAAATCTGTTTTTAAAAAAGTCATTATTGGTTCCACTTTGGGACAGGAGAATTCTAAGCCTGTGTGTCTATTGCACCCAGCTCGCTGAGTCTTACATCTTCACGTAAGTAATCATTCGGATGGGCTAAAGAAGACCAGCTCCCATTGTCTTGTGTTGTGCGGCTGCTATGAGAACTCTCAGGAAGTAAATAATTGCCGCTCTGCTGGCATGTTGAGTTTCCTGTGCTGTATCCTGCTAAGCGATGTTGTCAATGGTTAGTGTGGCCTATCGTAATCGTATGAGTCTGTCTAGTAGAGCCTAAGAAGACCCAAGAGTGGGTATTCAGTGTTAAGGAAATAAAAATAAACAAACTGCAGCTAGATGCACAATATGGATGATCTCACAAACACACTATTAATCCAGACACAAAAGAATACACACTATAATATTCCATTGATATAAAGCATAAAAGTGTAAAGAAAACCAAAGGAAAGTTAGGCGAGTGCGGAAAGTTAGCAGGGAAAGAAGGATGTTTTTATTGGAAGGAGTTACAAAAGAGGCTTCTGAAAATGATTTACTTCTTCCCCTGGTGAGTACACAAGTGTTTGCTCTATAATAATTTTTAAGCTTTATATTTATTTTTATATACTCTTCTGTATGTGTGTTACTTCACAACAAAAAAAGTTTTATAAATTAATGGCAAGATCTAAGAATATATGGACTTTTAATTATAATAGATTATTTAAAAATATTTTTTAAAAAATATTTTAGTCATTCATATTCATATTAGTAAAGCATGAAAATTTCCGTTTTCCACATTCTCACTAGAAAAAGATGACATCAAATGTTTTAATTATTGCCAATTTAATTGATGAAGACAGTATTTCCTTGTGGTTTAAAGTTTGTATTTCTCCATTAGCATTCTTGAGCAACTTTTTCTGTAAGAATGACTTTATAATCATTCTTACATTTTCTAATCTGTGGCATGCATGTTTATATATTTTGTTCATTTTTTTCTTATTAGGTTTTTTGTATTTTTCCTATTCACTTGAGGCAACATTGTAGAGTGGTCAAGGGCGCATGCCCAGAAGGTCAAGTGCACAGGCCAGACTGCCTGGGGTTTGAATCTCACTCCGTCCCTTACTAGATCTGTAACCTTAAGCAGTTTATTTAACCTATCTGTGCCTTAATTTCTCTGTCTGCAAAATGGAAAAATAAATAGCATATTTTGTGGGTTGTTTTGAAAGTTAAATGAAATAATATATGTATTGTGCTTAGAAGAGTAACTAGCACATGCTAAATAATGATAACTGATACTATTATCATTATTAAAATTTTGCAGGTACTTTTATCTCAGTATAATATTTGTCTTTTTTCATTGTTATGCTAACTTTGGCCATACATTAAAATTTCATACGGTCATGCACCTCATAATGACGTTTCAGTCAATGACAGACTGCGTATACGATGGTGGTCCCATAAGATTAGCCCCGTATAGCCTGGGTGTGTAGTAGACTACACCATCTAGTCAGTACTGGAGGGGAGGATGAAATTTTCCTCTACCCTTCCAGGTTCCTCTGGCTGGTCTAAGAATTAAATTGACGTTAAGACAGATTAACAGGAGAAAAATAAACAAAAGTTTAATAACACATATACATAGCAGAAACCCAGGAAAACTGAGTAAATCACTAAAACGGCCGAAGCCCTTACCTTAAATAAGATCCTCAGCTAAAGACAAAGGAGATTTTGGAGGTGGGGAGAATCAGGGACTTGAAAGGGAAGGCAGGCAATTCACAGGTAGGTGAAAAGGAGCAAACATTTGAAAAATGAGTGTTTGTTCGGCCACACAGAAACAGAAGAACACAGAGGGGAGCCCAACAAACAGGGTTTTCTAGGTTCCTCCCTGTCTACCACTTAGTTCATGTTGTGCTAAGGTGATAGCTCGCTTCCTGAGACAGGTTTTTTTCAAACCTGAATTCTTTTAGGCAGTTCAGGGGGAGGTAACAAGAAAAACTTTCTGAGTTTTTTGTTTCTTAAAAACAATTAGCCTAAAATAATCCTCATGTTAAAGAGACACATTTTGGGGTAGTGAATTTTATTCCCCTTCAGTACACTTGTGATGTTCGCACAACAATGAAATCGCTTGATACATTTCTCAGAATGTCCCTATCGTTAAGCGACACATGACTGTATTTAGATATGATTCCATTTCCTCTATTATTTCTAGGGTTTCTCATTTAGATGATCTCCCTCACCCAAATAATATACAAATAGACACCTATATTTTCTTATAATATTTGCAACTTATTGTTGAAAACGTTGAGAAATCTCATTCTAACGTGGTTTTTCACTTCAGATGGGCTGCTCATAGTGACTTCTGTCCAAAAGTATGGAAAGCAGGGAAAAACAGTGGAGAAACCTGACAAACACCACCTCAGTTGGGTGATCAAAGTCAACGCCCACAATGATAAATTGTGTTGATTGTATGTACCCTTGATGTGGTATAATGAGAATAGCACTTAACCGCTGAGGTCTTTCTCACAAAAAAACATATTCCTAGGGCCGGCCCCATGGCTTAGCGGTTAAGTGCGCGCACTCCGCTGCTGGCGGCCCGGGTTCGGATCCCGGGCACGCACTGACGTACCGCTTCTCCAGCCATGCTGAGGCCGCATCCCACATACAGCAACTAGAAGGATGTGCAGCTATGACATACAGCAATCTACTGGGGCTTTGGAGGGAAAAAATAAATAAATAAAATCTGTAAATAAAAAAAAAAAAAACCATAATCCTAGTCTAATCATAGGAAAACATCAGAAAAATTCCAATAGAGGAACATTCTACAAAATGCCTGACCAGTACTCCTTAAAACTGTCAAGGTCATCATAAACAAGGAAAGCCTGAGGAACTGTCACAGCCAAGAAGAGGTGAAGGAGACATGACAACAAACTATAAGGTTGTATCCTATATGGGATCCTGGAACAGAAAAAAAGATATCAGGTAAAAACTAGGAAAATCTGCATAATGTGTGAACTTTAGTTAATAATAATGTATCAATATGGTTCCATATTGTGACAAATGTACCATACTAATGCAAGATGTTAATAATAGGAGAAAGTGGGTGCAGGGTATATGGGAACTCTCTGTACTATCTGCTTATATATCTAAAGCTATTCTAAACAGTAAACATATGTAAAGCTGTTCTAAAACTATCATCTAAAGCTGTTCTAAACAGTATTATATCTAAAACTGTTCTAAATAGTAAAGTATATTTTAAAAAAAGAAATGTTGACAGATTAGGAATGGAGGATGAAAAAAAAATCACTTTGAGATAGAGCCCACCAGTCATTTGTTAATTTATCACTTCATTCTATAGAAATTGAGCACCTGCTATGAGTCAAGCACTCTTCTAGGCAAGAAGACACAAAACAAAAGT